CCGCATCACTACTCTTGCCATCATGATCCAAAGGGAATTTTAATAGTAAAAGGAGAAATACACGAGCCGCAGACGTATTGGGAGATTTGGCGGAAACGAGCAAACCCTAGCGGCGGGGATGGAGGCAAACAATGGACCCGAGCTCGGACGAAACTTATCAATGATCCATCATCAGGTGGCCTTATGACTTCTGGCGAGTTGCACCTGTGGTGCAATGGATGATCATAGGACTCGGACGGATAATTGAAACAGGATCTAGAGGGTAAAATAGACTGAAGAGAAGCCAGCGTTGCCTTCTCAGTTTCCTATGATTCAGCGGAAGCTTTACATGGAGTCGTCCTCATTAATAAATGTGCATAGAGGGTAAAGCAGGCGAGTCTCCAGGAACAACCATGGTTGTTGCAAGCTGCCGAGCATGATACCAAGCACCATAATATCTCACGTAGCAGGCGTTACTTCTCCTCTTCCTCCTCAGCTAAAAATGGAGTCTGAAGCCGAGAAATCACAATTGCCACTGCTAATCGCCGAATTCGAAGGCTCTGTATCTGACCGTCCGCCACCACCGCACACTGAAACTCTACAATCACATTCGGAGCAACCTCCTTCATGCCCCGCTAACACATTCTCCGGTCTCCATGGACTTTCCAAGGCGCTCTCTGTCGAACGATGAGCAGTCGTGGGCTCCGGAAGTACATGGTTTCACAACTCTTTGAAATTAGTAAATGATATGCCATGAAATAACCTTATATTTGTGATCATTTAAGCTTGCTTTTGGCTCAAATGTTAGGTAAATAATGGTGAAACAATGTAAATTTGGTGTATCTGTTATGTACAAGCAAGTATGAAATGATGCTAATCTTGGAAGAAAACAGGCTTAAAAGCACAAGTTGACACCCCGTGAATCCGAACTCTAATCAAAGATTAATTAGAGAATTAATCCTAGCTTCCTTGCTAATTTATTCCTAAAATCCTGAAAATTCAATAGTCGAAGGACTAGAATTTGACTAGTTAATCAAGGTCAAAGGGTTGTACCTTATGCTTATTGGGTTGTTCCCTTGTTTCCTTATTCTTCTAACTTTAGTAAGGGCAAAGGTGTCTTTCTACCTAAAGTTTGTGCTTCAAGCTAACCTAGCAACATCTCTTCATTTCATCCACCAACAATCTAAACACAAAATCTCTACCTTCTCTCTAGGAATTTGGTGGCTTCTTCTCCAAGCCAAAATTTGGGCATCCTAAATCTTACAAGTTGTCTTCCAAGATTCCTACTTTCCTAATCGTAAGCATAGGGGAGGGTAAGATCCTTGATCTCTTGGTGTTTTTAGCATCCTTTTAGTTGTCATTTTCTAAAAATAGAATCTTTGTTGTCTTTTGGTTTGTTTATGAAGTTGGTGTGGAAGAAGGGCTTTAGGAGAAGTTTTCTAAGGGTGAGAAAGTGAAGTTTTAGGCTACAAAGGTAACCCATGCTTTACAAAACCTATTTTCTTACTTGTATGATGATTTCTTGGCTTCTACTTGTGATTCTTGTGTTGAAATGTGAGATTTGATGCATTGTCTTGTGGTAATGCATGTTTAGAGTTTGTTCTTAGGGTTCTTGTATGCCATTGCTTGGCTATTTCTTAGGTTCAAGTCATATTGATGTATTGTGTGAGATTTTGGGTGTTTTGGACTTGAATTTGGACTTGTTGTTGAAAATCCTCGAAGAGATTATTTTGGAGTACAGGGTGTACCCGTGGGCGGAACGGCGGGCAAGGCACCACCCGCCGCCCCACCTGCGGGGAACGTGGCTCGTGAGCTTGATGTACCCGCGGGCGGAACCACGGGCAGTTGTCCACCCGTGGCCCCACCCGCGGGGAACGTATATGTTGGTTGGCGGGGATTTGTTCCCCGTGATTCTTTTGACTCGGTATTGATGTTTTGACCTCCCGATGTTGTTTTATTGGGCTATTTGTGAGTCTTCTTGATGTTTCGTATGTCTAGAACGATGAGTTAGGAATCCCTGTAGGATTTGGTGTCTTGAATCGTGCTAAGGGTCCGACATTGTGATTCGTTGGACTAATGATGAGTCTTGAATGTTCTATGGAACTACTTTTGTTTACCCGTTTGATAAGCATGCTAGTTTGATGTTGAAATACTAGTGTGTGCGATTTGTTCTTTCCTGTTGAGATTGGCAACTTGTGTTGACCATCGTTTGATGTTGGACTGTGATCCTTCGTTGTTGAGTGTGGTTTCATATCTTTGTTATGATCCATTGATTGATTCCTATGATGTGAACGTATGTAATCGTTGTACCCTTTGATTGATACTTGATTAAGGTTATTGTGGAACCTTAGTCCTCTTGGTCATGATGATGACTTGTGTGTGACTATGATTTATATGTTGGTGGTTGTTACCTGAGCAAAGGCTCATATGTTGGTGGTTTTGTGATATGATATTTAATGGTACCCTCGTGTACTGAGAGTTCGGCGGAAATGTTGGTGGTTGTTGGTGGGGGAACGACGGTTCCCGGAGGCATAAGGTTGGACTCAGAAGTACAGGGGTTACTCCGAGGTAATGGTTGGAACTGAAATAAGGCCGGGGGTAGCCATTAGGTTGGAACAGGGCATAAGGTTGGAACTTGGAACTGTGATCCTTGTGACATGTAGTTGTCACTGTGGCATGTAGTTGCCAATGTGTGTATGTCTATTCTTTGCTATTGAGCATGTCTTGATGTATTCTACTTTATGATTAGTAGAATACATCTCGAGTTGTATTGGTTACAGTTGGTATCTTGTCTTGTTGTTGTCGTAAGGATGTTGATTTCCTTTTCATTGAGAGTGTGAATGAGTCTTTGAAGTTGACTTCTCTCTATGGCTTTTGAAATGATATATACTGTATTCCGTTTTCAAAAATGGTTTTGACTTATACTTATCTATATAAGCTATTTAACGCGTATTGATGGGTTACCAGCAATGTTCGCTGACCGGGTGTTATCCCCTATCTTTATGTTACTTTACAGGTTTTGAGTAGCATCTTGGAGAGCGCGCTAGCAGATCGTTAGTTAGTGTAGTTATTCCTTGTGGCTTGTTTTAGTTAGACTTATGGCCTGTGAGCCGTGGATATTTATAAGTATGACTATGACGTTTTGTTTTGACTTAGCCTATGCACCTATAGATGTAGGTGTGGCATAACATCTCCCGTACTTGTTTATTAGCTTCCGCTTTAATTTAATCTTAATGAGTAGACTTTATCTCTTCCTTAAACATTAATTGGTTTTAAAAGTTGTTGAAAATCGGGGGTGTAACAATAAGGAAAGAACCCGAACGCACACTGGAGAATGAAGGAACAAAATGATAACGTGAAGGTCATTTGGAGGGACTCGTGTCAGCATGAGTCCGTGGCTGAGTTTCTGATCAGGAGACTCATGTTGAGACTCACACCGTGAGTCTCAGCATGAGTGTGCTGATCAGATTCTGATCTATCAGCATGAGTCTCAATGAATCTGATCATTGAGACTCACGGTGAGTCCCACCATGACTTCTCATCCAGTATACTACAGTGTGTTATATATATATATATATATATATATATATATATATATATATATATATATATATATATATATATATTGGGAAGGGATCAGGTGCATTTGTGGCTTCCCGTGCGGTTGTGCAGTTGATTAATGTGCATGAATTTTATACTTAATGTGCGTGAGTTTTGTGCTTAATGTGCCTGAGATTTGTACTTAATGTGTGTGTAATGTTAATGTGCGTGAGTTTTGTACTTAATGTGCCTGAGTATTATGCTTAATGTGCGTGAGTAGTTCAGAATTACGAGCTCAGAAGGAAGCAGAACAGAAAATTTTCACAGTCACCTTCTTTTTCACAATCTTTGAAGCTCTCATTAGCAGCCCCTCAGTATGCAAAGCAAAACAATACAAAATTCATTCCTCCACCACTTCGAAACAAAAACAAGAAGAAAATGCAGCAGTGGATGCACATAATTTTCACAGCAATGGATGAAGAACACACTCACGCACATTAAGCACACAACTCACGCACCTTAGGCACAAGACTCGCACACCTTAAGTACAAAACTCACGCACATTAGCATTACACATTCACGCATATTTTGTACAAATCTCAGGCACATTAAACACAATACACACGCACATTGAGTACAAATCTCACGGACATTAATCAACCGCACAACCGAAACGGGAAGCATTCATCCGCACAGGAACCTTTCACTATATATATATATATATATATATATATACATATATATATATATATATATATATATATATATATATATATATATATATATGATACACATATATAAAATATTTAATTAAAATATAATTTATAATTAAATTAATTGTTATATTATAATTTTAATAAAATGATAATTAAAAATAGGAAAAAGATATGATAGATGTAGGTGTATGGTAAGATTGGTGGGTATATTAAATACTAACGGTGTAAGGGTGATTTTGTCCAATACAAATAAAATATACAACAATTAGCATATAAAAAATAGACAAAAATCAAGGACATAACTTGATTTGGCACATATTATGTTTATATATATATATATATATATATATATATATATATATATATATATATATATATATATATATATATATATATATATATATATATTATAGTAGTTATTTTAGAGTTAGTTTTTCAGTTTTCAAGATTTCTCCCTCTGGTTTTCTCCCCAAAAACAGAAGATTTTGAGGAAGATTATCCATTGTAATTGCACATTCCAAATCATTTTTCAGATTATTTCTTTCAATTAAATCATCAAGTTAAGTTCTCTATTTCATATTTTTGCATTTATATTTCTTGAAGTTTTGAATTATACGTTTATTACTTCAATTGTTTCTAGTTTTACATTCCAATCATGAGTAGTTAAACATATATATCTAGGGATTTGAATTGAACCCCATTGTATAGATTCCAATGTAAGTTTAATTGCCAAAAATTAGGTTTTGTATTGTCTTCATGTGAACTTGGTTATGAATTGGATGAAATTGAATGGAATCTTTCATAGTTATGGCCAAATTATGCAAGAGATATTTGGAATTGGTGATTCACCTATGAGAATAGGCCTAAACCATAGCCATACCCTTCATATTGTGAAGAGATTAACTATATGTTTATTGATGTAAAGCACACCCTATATACAGTACATGGAGGAGTGAAGATAGCAGGAAGTTACAACCAAATACAACTAGCCTATAGGAGCACAAATAGAATAAATAACAACTAAAGATATACTAGCCACATATTGGCTTAACACGCCCCCGCAAGATGGAGGATCCGTCGGAGACTCAAATCTTGGACCGAAGCTGAAGAAAGAGGCGACGACCCAGTGACTTAGTAAGAAGATCGGCTAGTTGAGCTGAAGACGAAACGTGCCGCACAACTAGCGTACCATTTGCAACCAAATCCCGGACAAAATAGTAATCCAAGGCGAGATGCTTCATGCGGGAATGAAACACGGGATTCTTGCAAACGTACATAGCGCTCAAGTTGTCAAAAAACAGGACCGGAGGCTCAACCAGCCCCAATTTCAACTCTTGCAACAGATTTTTGACCCAGAGGACTTCAGCGGTTGCATTCGCCAGGGCCTGATACTCCGCCTCCGTGGACGACCGCGAGACACACTTCTGACGCGTAGACTTCCAAGAGATTAGATTATCGCCTAGGTACACCAGATATGCAGTAGTGGAACAACCCTCAGTGGATGGTCCACCCCAATCTGAATCAGTGTATACCCGCAACGAAAGGGGCTGACCTGCACGTAGCAACAAACCATGACAAGCGGTTCCTTTTAGATACCGCAGGAGGCGTTTGGCGGCTTGCCAGTGTAACTCCGAGGGTGCATGCATGAACTGCGAAAGCCTGTTGACAGCAAACGCCACATCCGGTCGTGTAATAACCAAGTACTGCATAAGACCAAGCAAGCGACGAAACTGAGTGGCATCAGTCGCAACATCGGACGGTCGCAGCGGTACCAACTTCTCAGAAGCAGCCAGCGGTGTTGAAACATCCTTTGTACCATCCATCTTGAACTGCGTCAGTATGCCAGTAATATACTGACTTTGAGACAGAAAAATTCCACCACTAGTAGGAATGACCTCCACGCCCAGGAAATGATGTAAAATACCAAGATCTTTAAGGGCAAATTGTGCTGATAGGGACCCCACAAAACGATCAAGCCAGGTAGAGTTATTGCCTGTCAACAAAATGTCATCGACATATACTAAAAAGTAGACAATTACACCTTTGGTGTAATAAACAAAAAGTGAATCAACTTGTGACTTAATAAACCCAGACTGCTGCAGGAACAAAGAGAGTTTCTGGTACCAGGCTCGCGGGGCCTGTTTATGGCCATACAAAGCCTTCGTTAATTTGCAGATATGGGATGGATACAGCGGATCAACGTAACCGGGAGGTTGGTCCATGTAGACCTCCTCATGTAAAGTCCCGTGCAAAAACGCGTTGTTGATGTCCAATTGGCGCAAACCCTAGTCGTTACTCAACGCAATAGTCAGAACCAACCTGATGGTGACCGGTTTCATAATCGGGCTATAGGTCTCAAAGTAATCCCGGCCAGCAGTCTGTAAGAAGCCTTTGGCCACAAGGCGTGCCTTGTACCGATCAACTGAGCCATCAGGTTTACACTTTACACGGTAAACCCATTTGCAACCAATGGGAACCCCAACACCGCGAGGAACTAAGCACCACGTTTTGTTACGTTGGAGTGCATCAAACTCTTCGTCCATCGCTTTCCTCCACCGAGCATCCTTCAAGGCCTGAGCGACGGTAGATGGTTCTAAAGTGGGAGGTAAGGGATGCGCTATGGTGTGGTTGATAACATACTCAGAATACATGGGGTTAGGACGACGTGGTCTAGTGGAGCGACGCAGCCCATCCTGTGACTGAGAGGCATCGGACGACGACTGTTCGGGCTGACTGGGTGGTTGATCGGTTGTAGTAATAGTGGGTGACGAACGACGGCTGGTTTGGTCATTTTCTGAGATAGTGGGAGACGGTGTTGGAACGGGTGTTAGAACTGGAGTTGGAACTGGTGTTGGAACGGGTGTTGGAACTGGACTCGGAACTGGAGTTGGAACTGGTGTTGGAACGGGTGTTGGAACTGGACTCGGAACTGGAGTTGGAACTGGTGTTAGAACAGGACTCGGAACTGGAGTTGGAACTGGTGTTGGAACAGGTGTGGGAACTGGAGTTGGAACACCCACGGGCTGCACCTGTGTAGACAAAGTAGACGACTTGCACAAGATACGTCGTGATTCAGAATCATGAGAATCAGAAGGTAAGCTATTAGATGACTTTTGCAAATCGTTATAAGGAAACACATAAGGCACAAATCTAACATGTCTAGATACATAAATGCGATTCGAACTATAATCTAAACATTTATAACCGGATTGGGTGGTTGAATAGCCAAGGAAAATACATGGACGTGACCTCGGTTATAGTTTCTTGGTGTTATAGGGACGCAACCAGGGAAAGCATAGGCAACCAAAAGGTTGTAACTTATCATAGTTGGGTTTTTGTTTGAACAAAACTTGATAAAGAGATTGATTACCTAATACCGGAGTTGGAAGTCGATTGATGAGATAGACGACAGCCTGAAACGCGCGAGACCAGAATGAAGAAGGCAAAGAAGCAGCGTGACGGAGTGACATTCCATTCTCAACGACATGCCTGTGTCTCCGTTCAGCCATGCCATTATGCTCAGGTGTATGTGGAGGAGTCAAAAAATGTGAAATGCCATTAGCATTGAACATCGAAATTAATTTAATAAACTCCCCCCCATTGTCAGAATAAACTGACACAATTGACAGACCAAAAAACTTCTCCACTAACCTTTTAAACTGAGGAAAAATCAAAGAAACATCAGACTTTCGTTTTAAAGGATATAACCAGACATACCTAGAGAAGTGATCTACAAATATAACATAATAAGCAAAGTCATCAATAGATTTTTCCGTCGGACCCCATACATCTAACAAGTGTGCTTTGGAAAAAAGGTAATTTATGACTTTTGTATACATTGCATGATTGTCAGGAAAACTTATTTAGTGCTGACATATATATGGGAACGTTGCAATGTTGCAACACACGATGCAACACCTTATTAGACGGATGGCCTAAACAATGGTGCCACTGGGAAACGCGAGACAGCTGCATGGAATTGGACGTAGGTTGACGCAGGAGAGGTGCATAATAGACACCATTAATGTTCGCCCCCCGTAGTAACGACATCCCCGTTCGAAGATCCTTCACAAGAAAATGGGAATCAAAGAATTCCACCGACACTTGATTAGTTTTGCACAATTGCGATATGGATATTAAACTATTATGCAACTGTGGAACACGTAGGACATTTTGGAGAGTGAGCAAGGAAGAAGGAGTGAGAATAGATGACTGACCAATGTGAGAGATGTTTAAAGAATTACCGTCGCCAAGTCGTATCCCATCAGGCCCATTATACTCGGTGAAAGTGTGCAGAGGAGACATATCCGGTGTGGCATGGTGAGACGCCCCGCTGTCAAACATCCACGGCATAGTCGCTCCCACAATAGAATTAGCTGCAGGTGACTGAGACTGAGGAAATGTAGAAGCCTGCACGGGAAACACATTATGGGTCTTTAAGAACCGGGCTAACTTACGGCAAACACGAGTTTCATGGCCAACAAGGTGACAGAATTGACACACAACATCAGGTCGAGTGTTGCTGTTGTGCGACCAATTCGGTCTATTATTGCCATACGTGTTGTTGGTGTTGTTGCGGGACCTCCGATAGGCAGTGGAGTGCTGACTATTGCGAGAAGCCGAAGGACCACGCTGGGAGGCATTGGCAGTAGCGAAAAGAGATTGGCGAGCATCATCAAATTCAGCCAACTAACGCTCATGATCTGTGAGCGCATCGGCTAATTCTCCCAAAGAAATAGGTTTGTCACGGACACGAACAGCAGACACGATGGTGTTGTACTCGTCCCCTAGTTGTGTTAAAATGTACACAAACATGTCTTCATCAGAAATAGGGCATTGAGCCAGGGCGAGGTCGTCAGCTATTGAGCGGCTGAGCGCATGTCATTCAAAAAGGCGGTGACTGACCGATTACCCTTCGGATTTCTGGTAAGTTTGGCCTTGAGGGAAATGATCCGTCCTCGGGAGGCGCTAGCATAGTTAGCAACGAGCCGTTGCCAGGCATCACACGCAGTGGGTGCGGAAGCTATAAGAGGTTGTATGGTGTCTGAACAGCTCCCAAGTAAGGCACTGGTAATTATCTGATCTTGGCGATACCAAGTCAGATGTGCTGGATTCGGAGTTGTTTGTGCAGTATCATTGAATTTTGCTGGTTCTTTGATAGAACCATCGATGTATCCCAGGAGATTAAAGCCAACCAAGGTGGACTGAACTTGGCGTCTCCATACAGGAAAGTTGAGGGAGGTGAGTTTGATAGGAAAACTAGACGGAGCATTGAGGTGAACAATGTCAAAGGTGGTGGTAGCCATGTATATAAGACTGGCAAAAGAGGAGAGGAAAAAAAAAAAACTCCTTAGGGGAATATGGCTCTTGATACCATGTGAAGAGATTAACTATATGTTTATTGATGTAAAGCACACCCTATATATAATACATGGATGAGTGAAGATAGCAGGAAGTTACAACCAAATACAACTAGTCTATAGGAGCACAAATAGAATAAATAACAACTAAAGATATACTAGCCGCATATTGGCTTAACACATATTTCGTACTCACCTTTGAGAAATGGGAGTTTGAAGGAAATGAGTATACAATTTGTATGTTGAATTGCTTCATCTAGCCAAGTTTCCATGAGAATGGGAATTAGGATTAGCTGATAGTCCAAGTGATCACGAGAGTGACATTGACACTTAAACCATTTCCCCAAGTTTTTCATTTGGGATTGCATAACTTAAAACCTTAGTTACACCAGAGACTCTATGCAATGATGTTTGGTTCAAATCCCTCTTTCTTTCATCTATTATCTTTTAATTCTCTTGATATTAATATATGTTGTTTGAACATGAAACACTCAATTATCTATTGGTTAGCTTTCAAACACTATATGAACCCGTGCTTAACCTCTCATTACTTTAATTCCCTTAAAGTCATTCCTTGAGGACGATACTCACTAAACTTCACCACTAAAACCAACTTTCAATATTTTATGTAGGAATAGATATGATAAAATGTTATATACGCAATAGTATATGTATTAGGTTGAAGAGATATATGAATGAGTTATCTTATGCGATAAATGGGCTATTTTAATACATACAATATGCATGGGTCAATATTATGCAAGTTGGGCTATTAAATGTATATAATATAAGTAGGAAATAATGCTAAGGTCCAAGAATAGTTTAGTCTTAGAAAATTTGGTATATAATAATAATAATTCTTAGGAATTTCGGTTGCATAATGAATTTATGTAAGTTAGAGATTTATTTATACTAGAAGAAATGGGCTAAATTGAAGGAATAAATCACTTATAAGAATAGTTACGGGATATAATTTTCAAAATGAAAAATACGAGGTGTTATAATTGTAGTCATTACACTTTAGGACTCTACACATTGCCTCCAGCTCCTACGGAGTACTAGAATCAGCATCACCTATTGGAAAATGGAAGCAATGGTGGCGAGGAAGAAGAGTATTAGAGGAGGTTCATAAAATAATTATTTTGTAAAAAAAAAAAAAAGGAATGAGCAAGAATTATTATAAATGGCCTCATTGCTCTTATGTTTACCAGAGGTTTGACGTTCAGTAACATCAGAGGACGAAAATAGATAAATATTTGATAGTCGAAGAATTTAACTGGATAGTTTAAAGGACGTGGACCAATTTGGTGAAATCAATATTGTTGAAAGACTATTTTTATAATTAACTCCATAATTATTACTCAAATTATCAACTATATACTTTATAATATAAATCAATTAAAAATTAGCTGAATTAACTAATTTTAGTTGTTTAACTTGGTCAAACATCTAAAATTGTTTTTTGGTAAATCTTTATTAGCTTAGCTAGCTAATTGCACCAATCAACTAATTTTCAAAACATACGTTTTCATATTGGTTGATCGCACTTCATTTCTAAAGACAATTTTATCCCTCAATCTTGTTCTCCTATTCTCCTCGTCTCACCTGCATCCCCTTTTCTCATATTCTTACAACAAATTGAAAAAATTAGGAAAACAATGCCATTATCCACCATTTAGATCTAGGTCATCATCCTTATTGTCATCTTTAAAATTCAGATAGAGAACTACCAAAAGAGAGAATTTTTTTTTTATTTGACAAACACCTCCAATGTGAATTCTATAACCATAAGTTTTATGAATTTCTTAAAAAAAATTATACACTGTTATTTTTTATAAAAAAAAATTCCAATATAAGTATATAACTATGCTTTTAACATTGTGTATTAATATTAGACACTTATTTTTATGCATTACGCACAGAAAATATTAATTATTAATAAAAGGAATAAGGTTCAAATTGGCCACTGAACGTAACCTGAAAATGCAATTAGGCCACTGAACGAAAACAAAGTGCAATTAGGCCACTGAACACTCCAAAAATGTGCAATTTCACCTGATAGCAGGTTACCTTCAATTTTAGCAGGTTATCTGCTTACGTGGCAGCTGAGTTGGCATTTTTAATAAATTTTAAATCATTTTTAATAAATTTTAATAATAAATTTTTATTTAAAAAAATTTAAAAAAAATAAAAACGACTTTATTTTATTTTTTATTTAATTTTTTTTCAATTTTTTATAAAATTTATTATTAAATTAATTATTAAAAATTATTAAAAATGCCAACTCAGCTGCCACGTAAGCAGGTAACCTGCTAAAATTGATGGTAACCTGCTATCCGGTGAAATTGCATACGTTTGGAGAGTTCAGTGGTCTAATTGCACGTTTTTGGAGTGTTCAGTGGCCTAATTGCACTTTTTGTTCGTTCAATGGCCTAATTGCATTTTCAAGTTACGTTCAGTGGCCAATTTGAACCTTATTCCTTAATAAAATAAGTGTCACCAAGTATTTTAGCCATTCTTTATTGAGTTTTTTCACAGAAACCAAAATTTATTATTCACATTTAGATTGTTAAATATGAGTATTTGGATATTTTATTTTACTTCAAGAGTCCAATGTATACCTGTGGTAAAATCATGAGCAATTGTACACCGGGTCGGGGTGTGGGGGGCCCTTAGGGTTGAGGTTCAGCCTTTTGGAATAATGAGCAATTGTACACATTAAAATTACTTTTTTTTTTATGTAATAATTCATCATTATACTAATACTGTTGAGTCATTAAAAGTGCATATTGCTCAAATATAAGTGTAGTTCATTATAGCATACTGCAAGGTTCATTAAAATGACACCAACTAACCAATTATCATTGAAACTTATTATTATTTATTTTTTGTATAAATAAAATCAATGTAATATTGCTACAAATATGTTGTTAAGATCTTTTAAATGATATCCATATATTTTTTCAATATATTGTTTCAATATGTGTGATAGAATTATAGTAGTGACTTAATATACCTACAATAGTAACATAATGAACATATAGTATTAAGTTGATGAACATGTAATAGTGATTTAATTAACTTGTTGTAACAAATTGATGAACCTGTACCAATGTCTTAATTAATATGTAGTAGTGAATTTATGAACATAAAGTAGTGACTTAATTACCTTATAGCATCAACTAAATTAACTTATAGTAGTAACTTAATGACCGCACAATAGGGATTTATTGAAGGTGACCAATTGGTCACCTTCTTAGACAGAACGCGACCGGTGACCATTATTTGACGTAGCTTGCCAGAATTTGGTCGGATGTTTATTGAAGGTTCGCCGGAATTGGTCGGAACCCTAATTGACCTGCAATTACAGGTCACCAACAAGTTACTGGTTGGATTTCATTGCTCCAAAATAATATGTTTGTGAATTTAATTGCAACTTCTAAAAGTTTATAAAGGGCCTGGTTGATTTTTTAGATAAAATTTAGGAGCTTATTTGACCATTTTCTATATGGTTTACAACACTAATGATTAGTCAAAGTTGCGTCAAATATTCGAATGACGACTTTCACTTAAACACAACAACAACAACAACAACAATAATAATAATAATAAATAAATAAATAAATAATTAGGGCATTCCTTGTTGTCCAGGGTGTAGCATAGTTGGTTCATCGTCGAACTTAAATATATGACGGGAGGTAGTAATGTGAGATGAAAGCTAAGGTCTAGATTGGATCCCTTATACACATATGAAGATTATGATATGATGAGTGGACTATAACACTATTGGCATTAGTGAAACAAAGTTAGAATTACCTAAGTTTAAAATAAAATTAATATATATAATAATAAATTAAGGTGATGGTTGAAATGCAAATGCTGCCACTACTTACCCCACCATCAGCTCTCCTTTGGTTGCACTTACTTCTACTTACTGTTACTACTTTACTCATAAGCTATTATATTGTTAGTCTGCTACTTAGTACTTACCACCCTCACCTCCCTCTCTGTCTCCGAACTAACACCACTGTCCCCTTCCCTTGGGACTATCCGATCTACTCTCTCCTTCTCCCCCGACATTATATCTCCCTCTTTAAATCTCTGATCTTTCCCTCTTTCTTTCATTACCATTGCTTTAACGAACACCACAAACAAAAGCAAGAAGAAGAAGAAGAGAAGTAAAAGTTGAAATATAGAAAGAAAAATGCTGGTTAAAGAGTCGGCATCGTCTAGGATTAGAATGGAGGGCACCGGCGGCGAAGGCAGGGGATCGATGAGCATGCAGTCAATCTACGAGAGGGTCCGCTCCCTGGCTTCCAGCAATACGGTGGTGATCTTCACCCTCAGCGGCTGTTGCATGTGCCACGTCGTGAAGCAACTCCTCTTCGGCCTCGGGGTCGGCCCCACCATCGTGGAGCTCGACCGCGACGCCCACGGCCGCGAAATCTACGACCTCCTCCTAAAGCTGCCGGGATCCGCCCCCGGCCAGCAGCAGCCCGTCCCGGCGGTGTTTGTGGGCGGAAGATTCTTGGGTGGGATCGATACTGTGATGGGTTGTCATATCAACGGCACCCTCGTCCCTCTCCTTAAAGACGCCGGAGCTCTCTGGCTCTGACCCATCGATATGTACATGTACTGCTAATGGGATAAGGGCAGGTGGTCAGGTGATCAGGTGATCGTCCTCGACCCTTAGCTTGGGGTCGGTTAAACCCATTTTGGTTTGGTATTTTGGGAAACATGTTTTCTTATTTTTGACAAGTTATATCCTGACTCCACAGTTTTGTAGATTACATTCCAATTTAAAATATGTGTTCTATTATCTCAACTAGAAGTCTAATTAAGTTGAATTGATACTTAAATTGCACATTTATATTTATATTTATATATTATATATGTTGAACAAAAACAATAAATACTTTCGCAAGCATTTCTTAATTGTAATTCCCCTAGCAATTTACTTGTTTCTAAACCGACCGTGGATTACAAAATTGACATTGGCGATGTTTTAAGAGATCAAAACAAAAAGAGTTAATCCCAATAATGATTATCTGACTATTGCGGTTGTTTAAAATTAGTCTTCATTTTTTAATTTGGACAAAATAAACCCTTAAACTATTAGATTTGTTCTAATAATGGTCCTTCTATTAAATGTCAGTTTGGTTGGCATTAAGTATAGGGGTATTAAAGTCATTTCATTCCTAATGAATTTCGAATTAGTACCGGCACTGTACAACGTAGAATTTTTTATATGTAATTCCGTATCAGCACAGATCAGAGGACTTTGACTTCGCAAGAAACCCTCCACGAATCAGCAGCAGCAACGACTCCACGAATCGCTCCAATGCAGAAGGCTCACCAGACCGGGATGGAGCAACCAACAAGACCCCTTCACGTTGGTTCAATGGGCTCCAGGTTTCCAGCGAACACCAGCAGGAACGGCGGCAAAGATCCCAGCTCATATATTCTCCTCTTCCGTTGAACCTCCATCCACCTCTCGATTTTACTCTGGTAATTCCCGTCTCGCCATTGCCGAAGATCTATCACCATCACGCCAGTGTTAAAGTAGCAAGGGGTGTTTGATTGGAAAACCTGGGAAAGACCCGGGTCGGCCCAGAAGGAATCCGTGAAGTACTGGTAAAGTGGAAGAAGACGCTCTCCGGACAATGCACCGCCACAATCGACCCCCGAAGTATCTACGAGTCAAGAGTCATGGCTACGTGAACCAGAGAAGGTAGCAAGACGACGCCGTTTCAGTCCCTAGTACACCTTGGCTAATCGCTGGGCAGCCCCTGCCGTTCCGATACTTTGGCGCCTCAAAAAACTCAAACCCACCACCGTTCTCTCCCTCATTAATCTCCAGAAAACTTCTAATCCTAACACACCCAAACAACACTAATCCAACAAATCAAAACAAAAACAACCACACAAGTATTCATGTTCAATTCTTACAATCTGGGTTTTCCAAGAATCCCCAATCCCTTCCATCTCTCTTTCTCTGTCGCTATAATGATCTACATAAACAACATTGTCTAATGCAGAAAGAGAAGAAGAAGAATGTGAAAGGTAAAACATTGAAGTAAGAATTAAAAGACGACGGGATTTATGAAAATGGTTAAAAAAGGAAAAACTTTAAAGTAAATGACTTAAATACCCTCTACTTAACACCAACCAAACTGTTGTTTAACAGAAGGACCATTGCTGAAACAAATTTGATAGTCGAAGAGTTTCTTTTGTCCAAATTAAAAGACGAGGGCCAATTTTAAAAAATTGCAATAGTCGGAGGACCATTGCTGGAATTAACTCAAACAAAAACTTACCTCGAGTTTTGACCCTATTGATTTTGTCCATTTGCCGGCACGGTTAATTCTGGCAATAGTTATGCCGTGCATACGACGCAAAACGACGCCGTTTTGACTAAAAACGCGGGTCCCACTTAAAAAAAAATTCAGGTTCGATTCTCGGCAATAGCATTATTGTGGATATATAGTTATGAATTTCTGGATATATAGTTATAAATTTGTGGATATATAGTTATGAATTTATGGATATTTAGTTCATTCATTGTGGATATTTAGTTCATTCATTGTAGATATTTAATTCATTCATTCACTGTGGATATATAGTTATGAATTTCTGGATATATAGTTATGAATTTATCGTTATTTAGTTCATTCATTGTGGATATTTAGTTTAATCATTGTGGATATTTAGTTCATTCATTGTGGATATTTAGTTCATTCATTGTGGATTTTTACTTCATTCATTCATTCATTGTGAATTTTTACTTAATTCATTCATTCATTGTGAATTTTTACTTCATTCATTCACTGTGGATATATAGTTATGAATTTCTGGATATATAGTTATGAATTTCTGGATAAATAAAAATGCTATTGCCGGGAATCGAACCTGATTTCTTCTTTAAGTGGGACGCGCGTTTTTTTTAATCAAAACGGCGCCGTTTTGCAACCGTATGCACCTTGCAAGGTGCATTCGGTTGCACAGCATAATTTGCGTAATTCTGGCATCCCGTTGTTTTTAATGTGATCAATGCGGTTTGGACGAGGAAAGGAAGGTAAGTCACGAAGGCCCAGTCTGGTCACGATTTGAGATAGGAATTGAGTAGGCCAAATTCTCAAGAGCACTCTAGACCATCAGCTAGCCTAGCTAGGTTGATGACAATCGTTATGCTATGGACCCGTGTCCAGCATGCATTGTGGATACGATAAGTCGATAACGGTGTCGTTAGTGGCGCCGTTATCTTCCATTTTTTTACAAAAAATTTCAGATCGCTTCGTTATAGGAGTATATGTTCATAATTTTATCACTATATGTTCATAATTGTAAGTTCATACTGTCAGAGTTCTGTGTTCATAATTCCATAACTGTATTCATACTTCCATAACTGTACATTCATAATTCCGTAACTGTACATTCATAATTCCGTAACTGTACATTCATTATTCAATAACTGTAAATTCATAATTTTCGAAACTCTATGTTCACAATTTTAGAGTTCTATGTTCATAATTTTAACATTATATGTTCATATTGTAAGTTCATAATGTCAGAGCTCTGTGTTCATAATTCCATATATAACTGTACATTCATAATTCCATAACTGTACATTCATAATTCTATAATTGTACATTCATAATTCTCTAACTGTACATTCATAATTCCATAACTATACATTCATAATTTTCGAAGCTCTATGTTCACAATTTTAGAGCTCTATGTTCATAATTTTATCACTATATGTTCATAATTGTAAGTTCATAATGTCAGAGCTCTATGTTCATAATTTCATAACTTACATTCATAATTTCATAACTGTACATTCATAATTCCATAACTGTACATTCATAATGCCACAAACGAATAACGCCGTTAACGGTGAGACAAAATCAATTTTTTTTTTCAACTGGAATGCCGCGTTTTCCTTAAAAACGACGTCGTTTTGAACTCGTGTCCACAGCATAATTTGCGGGTTGATGAATAGGCATGAAAGGGGCAAATTATATCGTGGATTATGCACCGCGCATCAAAATGACGTCGTTTTGTTTAATGAAAAGAAATGACATTCGTTTCCCGCCGTTCTGCATCCTTCCGCAAAAAGTAACTCTGTTATTCAGTTTCATTTTGTATACACTACAGTTTCAGTTCAACACAACTACAGTTTCATTTCGATATAATTACAGTTTCATTCGATATTTATAGACTCAAATATGTGAAAGTGTTATTTAATTTTATTTTATATACACTATAGTTTTATTGAAACACAACTACATGATTATTTTGATATAATTACAGCTTCATTGTACAATATACACTCAAATATGTGAAATATTATTCAGTTTCATTTTATATACACTGCAGTTTCATTTCACCACAACTACAGTATCATTTTGATATAACTGCAGTTTCATTTGATAATATAAAAATAATACGTGAGGTAGTGTCGGTTTAGATATACTATAGTGTCAGTTTAGATACACTGTAGTGTCAGTTAGTAATTAACATACAAAAAAAAATGTCTGCTCCGTTAACACTAACTGCGCACCGTTTCTTTATTTAAAGAAACAACATCGTTTTGACCGCGGTACACAATATAACGACCTCATGAAAGGGGCAAATTATGTTGTCAGCACGTGCCCACCTTGCAAGGTGGGCACGGTTCCATATCCATAACTTCTATACTGTAGATCCATAATTTCTATAACGTTCCGCATGAAAGGCATGTGGCCGATAAGAGGAGGTCTTGATTGAAGAAAGCCAGCAGTTATACCATGGATCTAGATCCACTTTGCAAGGTGGATCTAAGTCCAAAAATACACAATTTATCTATTGAATGTTTACAAATTTCATAGTGAATGTTCACAATTTGAATGTAAATTGTGAACATTTAGCATGTAAAAACTGTGAACACTCAGTATGTAAATTTTGAACATTCAGTATGTAAATTGTGTGTTTTTGGATCCAAATCTACCTTATAATGTAGACCCGAGTCTACAAAATAATTTGCGGAAGAAAGCGCAGCATTATTGGGTGGACCATAAATTATTAGTGTACATAAAATATATTTTTTGAAAGTATATTATTTTGTATACTATTAAATAATGTACATTAAGTACACAAATAATGTACTTTTAGTATATTAAAAATGTATCTTATATTCAAGGAAAGTACATTATTTTGTATAATGCACATTTAGTACACAAATAATGTACTTTTAGTATATTAAACATGTACTTTTTTATGATCCACACAGTATTATATGGATCATGGTCCACGTACATAATAATTTCAATGCGGATACTTCGATTGCGGATGCAAATTTTATTGTAGACTATGGTCTATGTAGCAGTGTGGTCCATGAAGTATCATTCTAATTACACTTCAATTTCATTTGACAATATTGCTCTGTTTTCAGTTTCATTTTCCATACACACTAGTTTTATTATAGCAGTACCAAAGTATCATTTTAATTCTACTACAGTTTCGTTTGACAATATACATTATTGAATAAGCTCTATTTTGTAGTTTCATTTTCCACACACACTAATTTAATTATAGTAATATTAAAGTATTATTTTAATTACACTCTAGGTTCATTTGACAATATATGTTATTGTATGACTTTGGATTTTAGTTTCAATTTCCATATACACTAGTTTCATTATAAGACCATCTCCAACCCCAACGCCAAATCACCAAATCAGGAAAAAAAAATGGCGT